TTTTTTTTTTTTCTTTTAGTTGAGAATGATATATTTAATATATTTAATTCCATATGCTTTAAACTTCTTAAAATATAAAGAGTAAAGTTAGCTCTTCAATCAGATTTATCAAAGATATCATTTATCAAAGATATTCAAGTTGAATATCAAGAGATTTTTTAAACCCCTTAATGGAGGTGTAAATGATATTTTGAAAGCTGTGCATATTTAATATATACAACTCAGTGCATTTGGGGATAAATATCCACCTTTGATACCATCACCACCATTGAGGCCATCAAAATATCCATTACTTCCCAAAGTTTCCTCCTGCTCCCTTAAGTGTGTGTGTGTGAGAGGAGAGATTCATGAGAATACTTAAGATACCCTATTAGCAGATTTTAAGTGTACAAGGTAGTATTGTTAGCCATAGATACTATCCTGTATAGTAGATCGCTAGCATATGCTTGTTTGCATAACTGTAACTTTATAACCTTTGACCTAATGGTCAAAGGCTCCCCATTTCTCCCTCCCCCACCCCTGGTAACTGCCATTCTACTCTGCTTCTTTGTGTTTGATTTAGATTCCACATATAAATGTGATCATACAGTATTTGTCTTACTGTGCCTGTGTCTGCTATTTCACTTAGCATAATGTCCTCTAGGTTCATCCATGTTGTTGTAAGTAGTAGGATTTCCTTCTTTTTCAGGGCTGGATAATACTCCACACTATGTATGTTCCACATTTTATTTGTCCCTTCATCCTTTGTTTCTTCTATTTCTGTGAAAAATTCCATTGGAGTGTCAATAGGGATTGCATTGAATCTATAGACGGCTTTGCATAGTATAACCATTTTAACAGTATTATTCCAATCCAGAAACAAGGGACATCTTTTCCTTTACTCATGTCTTCACTTTCTTTCATGAATGTCTTACAGTTTTCAGTGTATAGATCTTTCACCTACTTCATTACATTTGTGCCTAAGTATTTTATTTTTGATGCTTTGTAAATAGGATTGTTAATTCTTAATTTCTCTCATAGTTTGTTAGTAATACATAGAAACATAACTGATTGTTGTGTATCAATTTTGTTATCCTGTAACTTTATTGAGTTTGTTTAGTAGTTCTGCTTTTTAGTGGTCTTTAGGGATTTATGTATATAAGATTAAGTCATCTGTGAACAGCGATAATTTTACTTCTTCTTTTCTGATTTGCATGCTTTTTATTTCTTTCTTTGCCTAATTACTCTGTCTAGGACTTCCAGTGCTATGCTGAATAGAAGTGGTGAGAGTGAGCATCCTTGCCTTTTCCTGATCTTAGAGGAAAAGCTTTCAGCTTTTCACCGTTGAGTATTTTCTGTGGGCTTGTCATATATGACCCTTATTATTTTGAACTACATTCCTTCTCTGCCTATTGTTGAGTTTTGATCATGAAAGGATGTTGATTTTTGTCGAATGATTTTTCTGTATCTATTGAGATGATTATATGATTCTTATCCTTCATCCTTTTACAGTGGTGTATCACCTTTATTGATATGTTGAACTTTTCATCTTGAGTAAATCCCATTTGATCATAGTGTACAATCCATTTAACGTATGTACTGTTGAATTTGGTTTTCCAGTATTTTGCTGAGGAATGTTGCATCTATGTTCATTAGGGATGTTGGCCTATACTCTTCTTGTAGTGTCCTTCTCTTGCTTTGATATCAGGGTAATGCTGGCCTTCTAAAATGAGTTTGGAAGTGTTACTTCCTCTTTAATTAGGAGATTTGAGAAGAATTAGTATTGATTCTTCTTTAAATGTTTGGTAGAGGGGTGCCTGGGTGGCTCAATGTTTTAAGCATCCTACTTTGGCCCAGGTCATAATCTCACAGTTTGTGAGTTTAAGACCTGCATCAGGTGAGCTTGAGCCCTGCTCCAGGGCTCTGCACTCTCTCTCCCTCTCTCTTTCTGTCCCTTGCTCACTTGCATTCTATCTCTCAAAAAAAAAAATTTAATTAAAAAAAAAAGTTTGGTAGAATTCACTAGTGAAACCATCTTGTTCTGGGCTTTTCTTTATTGGTGGCTTTTAATTACTGATTCAGTCTCCTTACTCATTATCCGTCTGTTCCAATTTTCTGTTTTTTCATGATTAGGCTTTGGTGTGTTTTGTGTTTCTTGGAATTTATCCATTTCTTCTAGGTGTCTAATTTGTTGATAGTGTCTTATCCTTTGTATTTCTGTGGTGTAAGTTAGCCCTTTCATTTCTGATTTTATTAATTTTAGTCTTCTTTCTTTTCGTCCTCACTAAGGGATTGTCAGTTTTATTTTTCAAAAAACCAGCTCATAGTTTCATTGATATTTTCTATTGTTCTCTAGTCTATATTTCATTTCTTTATGCTCTGATGTCTATTTTTTCTTTCCTTCTGCTAAGTTGGTGGTAGTTTGTTCTTTTTTCTAGTTCCTGGAGGTGTCAAGTTAGGTTGTTTTTCTGAGATCTTTCTTTTTTCTTAGAGTAGATGTTTATTGCTACAAATTTCCCTCTTAGAACTGCCTTTGCTGCATCCTGTAAGTTTTGGTGTGTTGGGCTTCCATTTTTATTTGTGTAAATGTTGTTTTATTTGCCTTGACTTCTTAGTTCTTCAGAAACATGTTATTTACTCCCCACAAACTGGTGAATTTTAAAATTTTCCTTCTATTACTGATTTCTAGGTTCATACCATTGTGGTCAGAAAGATACTTGATGTGATTTCAGTCTTAAATTTGTTGACTTGTTTTATGGCCTAACATGTTATCTATCCTGGAGACTGTTCTGTGTAAACTTAAAAAGAATGCATTCTTGGGGCACCAGAGTGGCTCATTCAATTAAGCATCTGACTTCGGCTCAGGTCATGATCTCGCAGTGAGTTCGGGCCCCATGTTGGGCTCTGTGCTGACAGCTCAGAGCCTGGAACCTGCTCCAGATTCTGTGTCTCCCTCTCTCTCTGACTCTCCTGCTCGTTTTCTGTCTCTCTCTCTCTCTCAAAAGTAAATAAACATTAAAAAAAAAAAAAAAAAAAAAAAAGATGCGTTCTTGCAGTTGTTGGATGGAATGTTCTATATTTGTTAGTTATATTTGTGTTTAGTCTTGTTCACATACTTTGTTTTCTTACTGATTCTGTGTCTGGATTATCTGTTCATTGTTGGAAATGTGGGATTAAAGTCCCCTGCTATCATTGTGTTGATATCTATTTCTCCCTTTAGTTCTGTTAATCTGCTTTATGTATTTAGATTCTCTGATGTTAGGTGCATATATGGTTACAATTATTATATCCTCTTGATGAACTTATGCCTTTATATAATGACCTTCTTTGTCTCTTGTGACAATTTTTGACTTAAAAGTCTGTTTTGTTGAAATAAGTCTAGCCAGCCCTGCTCTGTTTTGGTTACCATTTGCGTGGAATATCTATCTTTATCCCTTCATGTAGAACCTTAAATCTGGTGTGTCTCTCGTGGAGATAGAACATAGTTCAATCTTGTTTTTTAATCCATTCATCCACTCTGTTTTAAGAATTTAAGTCATTTACATTTAAAGTAATTACTGATAGGTAAGGATTTACTCTGTTTTGTTTTGTTTTATAATTCCTTTGTCCCTTTCTTCTCTTTATAATTTAATTATTTGTTTGTGGTGCTATTTGTTTGTGGTGCTTTATTTTGTGCATCTACTATAATCAGATTGACAAAAGTCAGAGACAGAGAATTTTGAAAGCTGCAAGAGAAGCCAGTTGTCACAAACAAGGGAAACCCTGTAAGACTAGATTTCTTAGTCTTAGCATATACTTTATGTGCCAGTAGGGTAAAATCATATATTCAGAGTGCTGAAAGAATATTCAGAGTGCCACCAAGAATATTATACCCAGCAAAGCTGTCCATCAGACATGAAGGAGAGAGGAAAAATTTCTCTTCATGTTTAATTTGTTTGGGGTTCTTTGGGCTTAATGGATCTGGATGTTCATTTCCCTTTCTAGATTTGGGTTTTGTTGTTGTTGTTGTTTTATTTCTTTGAATAAGATTTCTGTTTCTTTGTCTTTCTCTGCTCCTTTTGGGACTACCATAATGCATGTACTTCGTTTATTTAATGATGTCTTATAAGTTATATAGGCTTTTTTTTTTTTT